TGCTCACCTACGGCGCTGATGTGCTCCATCTCTGCCCTTGAAACTTCAACGTTAAAGGCAAAACTCGGTTGAAAAAACACCCGAGGTGGTTCAGCTCCACGACTCGGCGCAAGGTGGGCTCAAGTCCCGTACCGCAGACCTGCGCGCATCCGTGCTTCTGCCATTTCACCACTTCCAGGAGCTTCAAACCTACCGATTCTCATCGCACGCTTTTCTGTTTATTTCAGTTGAAAACATTTTTGGTTCCCCTTCACGTCCTGAACAGAGTAAACCTTTATTTAAAAAAAAAAAAATCAGTACAAACATATCCTTGAAAAAAATAATTCGGAAAAGTCAGCACAGAATACTCATTTAGTAAGCAGCAGCCCGTGCCAGCACGATGCCGGTGCCAGTGTAACACAGTGCCTCAACAGAAGCATGTCTGATGCGCCAAACGGGAAGATTTTACATCCGTCAACCAGCGCCAGAACGCCTGCGGATGAACGGAGGAAGCCCCGCTCCCCAGGGATGGATCACTGCCCGGCAGCAGCTAAAGCCCTGTGCTCAGCGTGGCGGCACGAATGAGGAGTCTTGAACCGTTTGTAGCCAAGGCCTCCAGTTATCTATTTTCAGGAGCAGAGCCAGAGGTAAGCAGCTCTTCCTGAAAGCAAATTGTTGAGTAGAGGAAATCAGAAATTTGTTACCATAAGTGAGTTCTAGCATCCTCGATATTAAAAGTTTTTTTTAAAATGCTGTTTGGACAACACTTCATTCTGGAAAGATATTCGAAAAAGCACTTTCTATTCGGTAAGTAGTCCCATGTTGATGTTTTCTTATTCACACATGTGCAGTTCCCATTCCAAAATCATTAAAGTAACAAAATCTCCTTATTATTGGTAAGACATCAAAGCCATTCCAATCCATTTAACTCATACCAACTTAAAAAAAAAAATCAATCTTCCCACATTCTCTTTCAGAACAGAATTTCTGTTTGCAAATGAGCCGTTCCCTAAACAGAAGAACAGAGCTCCCTGAATCAAAGCTCTACACTGGCTTTCTCATGTGCTTCTAAAAATAACAAAAAGGAAGAGTATGCA